CATCAGGGACATGGTTGATCGTGCGTGCGAACTCTATCGGAACAACAAGATGGAGGAGTTCAACGCGCAGGTCAACGAGGTCAGGGACGAAATCAGCAAAGTCGTCATCCTGAATGATGAGACATGGGAAGGACTGAGATGCCGGATATGTCCATCATGTGCGACCGCGATCCCCACCTGCTTCTGCTTATGCCTGGAATGCGAGGCGCAACTGATCTCCACCGGGAGGTACTACATCCACGTCAACTCCGACGACGAGGAGGACAATCAAAACCCCAACGTCTCGGGAGATGCCAAGCGCGCACAGGAAGAAGCCAACCACGATGCGGCGGCACAGGAGGATGATGACGAAGCGGAGGAAGTTCCAGGAGAAGAAGACGACATGGACACGCAAGGATATACATCCGGATATGCGTCAGAAGAGGATGACAGCGGTTGGTATTACCGCGACACTGATCTGACGTCACGGGATATCATAAATTCCCAGCGGATGGCGATCTGCCTTGACGAGCCGCGTGAGGCTCAGTACATGGCAGGGTTTATCGCACTCCAGATGTCCAAGATGTGGGGGATGTTCGAGGGTGGTGAGGAGAGAACGATGAATGCCCAACTCGAGGGGAGACCGGGCTGCCCTTACCACAATGACTTCAAGAGATACCCCAACATGACTGAGCATGATCAGGAAGGTATACTTTTGCCATCAACAATAACGAAGATTTCTCAATCGGAGAATGTTCGGACAAGAGCCTTCCGATCGGTTGAGGAGCGTGACGAATATATTCGTATGATGGTGTGCAAATGCGAGGGACTTTACACATTCTACAAGCTGTGGATTGCAGCGAGAATCCTCGATGTCACCAAGGAAGAAATGAAGCTCCTGGTCAAGGACCGAGTGCACCCGGTGGGTGATATTATTTTCAGATGCTTTGCACTAGCTTTCAACTGTAAGTATATATCATTCGTGAGGGATGGCCTGAACCTTGGCAAATATGGTTACGCGGTCAACGTGAGCGCCATCATCTCGGCCGTCGACCCGAACAAGTGTGACACACCTCTGCTGGATTGGTGCCTTCGGAAAGGGCACTGGCTACCAGAGGATTACAGCAAGAAGTGTGTCCGGGCACGAGAAGCCCAGAAGAACTTGGACGAGGAGTTCCGTCGACGCACTCACAGACTGTCCATTGGGGACAGGTATGCGTAGTGAAGATGCTGATTGCGGCACGATGTGGGTTAGTCCCCATCTGTTGCTTGCGTCTCATCAACACCATTGCGATGGAACGACTTTACATCATGATATGATTTCATGTATCCAAGTTGAATGGATGTGTACATGGTTACATATTCCGACGACTATGACATTCTGGATATTCATGGATGGGACTATTACCTAATGGATGATTTCCTTTTCATTATTTATACATTGACCATGGTATCTGGAATGGCTATGATTTGCATTGATTGCTCACCGATATTTCTTTGCCGGAGATATGCAGATTGCTTACGAGCAGGCGCCTCTGGTGGACTCTTATGGCCAACCCATTTTCTATGGATGACGGCTGCGCGATGCGCAAATGCGGCAGCTGGGATGTTCACTGGTGGTCAAATGACGTGACGATTGTGTATTGTATACACCTGCATATGGGAGTGCGCTTCGATTGGTGGATGAATGTTTCACTTTTCTACAATCGAACCCGGCATGTTTCACAACGAATGAACGGTGTAGCGATAGCAAGTAAAAGAATGCACGACACGATTTCGTAGCTGAAGCCGTGGCCAGTGGAACGTTTTGTGGTGTTTGGACCGCATGATGAACAATGCGACCCAAATGGGGGATGTTAAAACCCTCTAGGCCCCGTGCCTAAATTGGGAAGCTGTTCTGAGGTCTGTGTTGGTGTTGCTTTCCAAGTTCCATTGATCGCCATTTGGCTCAAGACACAATTGAGGTTCAAGATCTGATGTGTAGCTGCATTCATACGTGATCGGCATTGAGAGCGGAAAACACTTCGCTTGCGCTGCATTTGTCAGGACCACTGTTGTAACTATCATCCCTTTCCCCTTACAACGTTTACACGGGTTCGGCTATAACGGCATCGTCCGTATACACCTTTCCACGTGGTTGGTATTACAGCTGGAGGGTTCGGTGCATAGCGTCCTACGGGACGTCACCTTGCCGTCTCTTGACAACCCGAATACATGCCATATACCAAACCAGCTCAGCAGTTATGAGTTATACGGCGAGAGATATATATAGTTACATAGATATATGCTTCCCCCTGTCTTGAAATACTCAGGTTTTCGTGCAGAGCTCGAGTTTTTGGTCAGACTGTGGGGACTCTGCACTGAGCTGACAGGACGTGCAACTCCATGCAAAGTCAAACCAAGCAGAAGTTAAGCTCAGCCTTCAAAAGGAGCTCCTAGTTAAACAGCTCGAACGCGAAGTGCACTTAAAGTCACGCTGGAATCTGCGAAGTGCACTTTGGCAGCCCCGGCTCAAAAAGCACAACTTTCAGCACAAGAGTAGTACGCGAAGCATGCTTTGCCAGCTTCAGCGTGCCTGTAACCGCTTTTTGGTTTGATCATTTCTGTTTTATAAGGAAACCCGGCAAACCATCCACTTGGGGGAAAGGAACTCAATCCTCCTTGCAACTGACATCCAAATCAAGCATAAAATTGCTTCATGTCCTTGCGCAGTTGCATGTACATGTTAGTTTTTTTTGTACATAATTCCGTGTACATTCCAACAAAGTGTTTTTAAAATAATCTTGCAAAGCAGCTATCTCAGTTGTGCGTTACATGTCTAATACGACTCAACCCCTGTCAAGAACAAGTATTGATTTTCAAGTATAGGAATACTATGACAGTTAACATGATTCCGAGTTCAAGCGAAATTCAACTTTAACCGGTTGCAGTTTCTTGTGCATTTCAAAAGTCAATTGGAGAACACAGCTATTGTCCTGGCCAATAAAAACTGGAATGAAGAGACATTCAATAAGGGTTATTGTCCTTGTTTATTTCCATGCGGTTTAAACCAAGCAAGAACTGAGCCAAACCAATAGCAGAAACATGTGTTCAAACATAAATCTTCATACATGCGGGACAACTTTGTGTTCAGCCTTCGCTCAGATCATGTTACCCTGGATCGAAGCCCAGCGATTCAAAGTTCAACAGGCATCGTTTTAGAGCATCCTCGATCCTGGCAGTCTTTCTAGACTCCTTAATGTTGTCCCACCTGCATTCAAGATTGAAGATCTCCAGGTTTCGTTTTCTGAGAGTCGTCCAGCCCTCAAGTCCTAAAAAAGCTGTAAAGTTTTCGGACACATGTTTCCCTTATTGGCAAAATGCTCTTCAAAGATGTACTTGGGGCAGTCCAAGATGTGCTAGCACGTGCTAGCACACGTGCTAGCACATCCTGGATTTAAGATTGAAGATGAAGATTCTCAGACCACTTTTCTGCAAATCTTCAAATCCATGATTAGGTGAAACTGATATGTGCTAGCACGTGCCAGAACATCCTGGATTGAGGATTGAAGATTGAAGATTGAATAATCCCAGAGAGAGTTGCGAGAGAATCTTCAATCTTCAATCTTCAATCCAGGACATGCTAGCATGTGCTAGCACATCCTGGATTGCACTAAGTACTGATGCTATCATTTAGGTCTAAAAAATAGTGCATGTTTTGAGCATCATTGTTAGAAGCTACAAAATTGCAGTTCGCACGCATTTGTGCAGCAAACATGTCAATGTTTGAACGAGAGCCTGAGTATTCCAGGTGTGTGTGTGTGTGCCAAATAGCTAGATACATAGAGACGCATGGATACATAGACATGGATACATAGATACAAGGATACATAGATACATGGATACATGGACGCATCTGGACACATGGATAAATGAACACCTATGTACGTGCTTTTGCACCTTGCTTTTTTTAGGGGCCGCGAAGAGTGCCAGCGCCCAACACCCCGCGCCTCCGGCAGGGGGGTGTCCGGTTTCTCGGTTTGCGTTGCAGGCCTTTCATCTGGCGGACATGACCCGTAGCAACGACTTGGACCTCCAGGCGCTTCGGCGCGACTGGCGCGACCGGCGCGGCGGGCGCGACGGGCGCGACTGGCCACGCTCGCCGTCGGTCAGTGCGAGCGGGGGAGCGGGGGAGCGGGAAGCGGACGCCGGATTTTTCTCGCTCGTCTCTGAGGAGTTGGCTTCACCTCCAAAAAATGGATCTGTCAATTTGTTGGTTTTCTGTCAAAGCATCCCAAAAGGGGTGCCCTCATTTTTTTTTGTTTTATGGGCTAGCAACTCAAAAAAAGACGAGCCACCCATGAACATGTGTTGGATGTTGGAGGCGAGGGGTGCTAGTTAATGCCAAAAAGGTCATCACTAGTTTCACTCTTCCCACAGATCACAGCCACTGAATCCATGTCCGACGCTTGGCGTGAAGCTCTGTCGGACTGGCTAATACCCCATGTAGTCGTGGGGGACATGAATTAACAGAAGTTCTTCCGGGTTGATCCGAGCGTCAAAAAGATGATGACACCTCAAAGGTAGACCATCAGTCTGTTTTTCTGTTTGTTGTTTTGCTTTTCCAGGGACTGGAAAACAACAACTAAAGGCCTGGTGCCAAATGTGGTCTGTTGCATACCGTTCGTTCGGCCAGGAGTTTGTGACCTGGTATGCCACCTTCAGCTTCTCAGAGGACATCATTCTGCTCGCTTACTCCATGTGAACTTGGGGCTGGTGCTGCTTTTCCTCGCCCATGGTTTGCCCCGCCCAACTTGGGTTTTTGGGAGGCAGAAAATGGAAGAATCGGATCTCCTCGGTTACTCGCCAGGAGCTCCACCCAACTTGAGCCACAATCAAAACCCGGGTAGTCCCAGCCGGAAATAGCTGCGGCCGCCTTTTAATTCCCTTTGGCTTTGGGCAGACCATTTTGCTGCCAGGTTTTGACTATGACTCACTTGGTGTTTGGGAGGCGCTTGTTCGGAGAATGGACTCGGAGCTCAGGAGCTGCTCTTGGGGAAGTCCACTAAGTCCATCCGCGACGCCCGGGGGCTCAAGCGGGGCCACAGGCTTCGCCGCTTCGCCGCGCCGGGGCATTTGGCAGGAGGTTTCCGGGGGTGAGGGCGTGGTTGTGGGTCTCCGAAGAAATGGGTGGCTCGTATCTCCTTTTTTGGGAACGCTTTGTTGGATTGTAGAGGGAAGGCGAAAGGAGGCCGCGCGTTGGATTTTTGTGTTTTTCTCCTCTTTTGGGAAGCACCCAAATTTGGTTTGCTGCACCGGGCCTTGGCAAAAGGGAAGTCCTCGTGGCAAAGGGTCTGTGGAGGTCCATGATTGGCGGAGTGTCGAACTTGGAACCTGGGGCCTTTGTCCCTTGACACGGCCACTGAAAGGCTGGCGTTGAGAACACCTCTTTGGGTGAAGCGACATAGCCTTGGACTTTTTGGGTGGCACATGGTGTGTTATCAGCTGCCAGGGGGCCCACAACAGGGGGGGGGTGGGGCCCTCCGAAGCGATCAACCCCTAAAGGGGACACCCCCCATCTCTGAGAATCGACCAGGGGTTTATGAATATGTCGGCTTCCCATGAACCCTGCTGCTGCTTCTCACAGACCAGCGCTGGGTGAAGGGAGATTTCACGCCGGCTCTCAGGGAATGAGGAGTGGAATGCGCCTACGAACAATCCCACTGCATGGACCCCCTAAAGCCTTTAGGGGGGTGGCTTCTGGATTCGCCTGGGATAAGCCCAACCCGGCCTCAAGGGCTTGGGGTCCACTGGCAGTTCATCTTTTTCCGGTTCATTCCCTCGCGCGACGCGACGCCTCTTGTGAGGTGGCCCGAAGGTTGGGCATCAACCTGCTGGACATCGAGCGCTACAAGCGGGTCTTCGATAGCTTCGACCAGGACAAGAGCGGGGTCATCGAGCCGGGGGCCCGGCCAGTTTGCCAGTTTCAGCGGGGCAGCTGGTGGCGGACTGTTTTTTGGGGTGGATTCTCCGCCCGAGGCCTCGGTACTTTGAAAGGCTTGGAGGTGGATTTCGTGGCGGGTGGTCGAAAATGTATCCCTACCTCCCAACAAATGGATGCTGAAGATTGACTGGGCTGAAGAACTCCCTGGCTCGTTTGAGTGGAGCAGATAGCCTTCGTTTTTTGGGGGGTTTACGGGACGAATCATGCTTGGTTTGTAAGTGAGTTGATAGATTAGGACACATTTTGTTGCAAAGCGTGGCACTTCCTTGTTTGTTGGAAGGATGATGTTTGTCTTGTTAAGGACTTCTCTCCAAAAGAAGCTGCTTCGCTTTCTTCCTGTGTCTTCTTCAAACCAAACCAGCCTACAGAAGAGCAGGAAGCATGCTTGTTCATGCATTTATCGCAGGTTCTGGTTGCGTCAGGCTACTCGTTAAGAACCTAGAAATTTGTTCGGCTGTACCACTCTGCATGTGTTGTCCAGGCAGAAGCGTCATGGATGAGCACAAGTCAGTTGGTCACTTTTGTTTATGAGGGCAACCACGTATCCCTGGAGTTGAGCACTGATTATGTATTAAATACTCGTTTCAGACACATATTGCATATTTGGGCCTCTATTTCTACCCCGTGCGTGACAAGTACCCATATTCAAACTTCAAAGGAGCAGATGAGGGGTACATGAGGGGAATGAGCTGATATAAGGCTTGAGTGTCATACTTTGGGCTTTGTGAAAATAACTCTTCGAACGTCGGCAGGGGTATTTGACCCGTGTCTTAACGCCATGGGATTCCTCGATTTGGGCACTAAGGATGCCGGAATTCCGGATGATGCTGCACAGGCTGCTGAAGGCCGAACGTTTGGCCGAGCCACGGCTTCGGCCCCTTTTTTTTTTTTTCCGATGACGTTTGACAGAAGCACCTCGTTTTGTTATGCCCTTGCCACCGGATGGAGTTGCTCGGGAGGAGGCATGTCGATCTTTTGGGTGGGAGGTGGGTCAGCGTGCGGCACATGGCACTTCTAGATCGGATCTGCCAAAGCCTATCAGCTTGTTGGTAGGGGCAGAGCTGGCTGGGCACAAGTGCTTTTGCCAGCTGCAGGTCGGTTGAGTATGGCAGGCCATTTCAACTTCTTGTTTTTTTTTTTGAATCTGTTTTGGTTGGTCTTTCATCGGATGGTCAGCAATCTTGGGCGTGTCTTTTCGGTCTCTTTGGCACTCCCATAAGCACTTCAAGCTGGAGCTTCTCTTGGTGCCACATTTTCTTGGCCCCTGACCCAGTTTTCTCATGACATACGCGATCCGCCTCTTCCACGGCGGCCGTGCCCGCGCTAGGTGCCGAACGGCCACCACCTGCCGGTGAGTCAGGTGAAGAGCTTCTGGAACATGGCGGACAGCGCCTCGTTGAGCAAGCAACGGGACCCCTCGATACTTCCTTTGGCAACCGGATGGGTTTTCGTCACCCTCGACAGAAACGGAGCGTTGTTGGATCCAATGAAAGGATTGGAGTAACACACCAGCAGTTTTGTACATGTGTGTGTGTGTGGCGATGTAGTAAATACAGGGTATGGATCTAGGTATGTATGATTGTCTATGTATGCGCAAGCATGCGTGCCAAAAAAAACACATGCAACCAGCGGGTGGTTTTTTGGGTGTCGTGTTTCGGCTCTTGGGTCAGCAATCTTGGCGCCTTTGGAAAGAAATTTAAGTTTGGGGTAGTCCTAAGTGCGAATCTTGCATTCCTCTTGTCAGCCACGGCGCAGGAAAGATGTGACGGCAAACAAAGCCCCGAATGGTCAACCTTTGGGGATCCAACAAAGCTTGAATGAGTTTTGGCATGGCGCAGTTTGCCCATCCATTTGATTCCGGGGGTCCCAGTGCGAATCAGTGATTTTACAAGCAGATGGGACAGCGGGGTTGCCCCTAGAAGGAACACAATGATAACGGAGAAATGGCTCACTGTCGCACTTGCGGCAGAAGCACTTCAGAGAGCCAGGGAGATCATCGCACCCTTTGACTCAAAGTGAGCTCTTTTTTGAGGGGACTCCCCCAGATGGTGGTTTTCCTTTTGGCTTTCCTTTGAAAAACAAGAGTAGCCTCAAAAAAAGACGAGCCACCCACAAAGGGAGAGCTTGTCGTGTACCCTGTTTTTGGGTGTACCACAAACGTTGGTTGCCTTGCTGACCCCACCCCCCTTTTAGGCCGGCTGTATGAGGATCCATACAACTGTCTCACTGTGGATGCACGAAATCCTGCACCACCTACGAACGCTGGAATGATGATTCTCCTGTAAATAGCACAAACAATGGCTTCAAGCATAGTTTCTTAGATGGTGCGAAATGGATTTCGCAACCATCCACAGTCCGAGCTGAAGCTCAGGTGATGGCAATGGCAAAATCGACTTCCCCGAGTTCTGCGAGTTCTACCTGACGCTTGGCCGGACGGACTCCGATGGTCTCTGCTTGCTTCTCTTCATTCAGCGGAACCCATCTGGATTTGTTTTTTGTGTTGGGGGAGCTGTCAAAAAGTGGCAAGGTTCCTTTTGGTTTCCCTTTAGCCCAACCAAGATTGGATGCCCTCGAGAAAAGACACACTCGTCTATTTCTCCAAATTTGGACGGCAGGGGTCGATGCCTATCCGGACAGACATTTGTACAGGGAGTGGGATGCACCCTCACACGCCTGTGGCTCCAAAATGTTGTACCCAAAACGTTATATGAAACCAAAGATTACAGTGTGTGGAACCCGAGCTCTTTCATTTTGAGCCATACACACCGAAGTGTGACTGGGCACATGGGACCTATGCACTCACCAAACTCTGCCACTGTGCCAGTTCATGACCAGAACTTGACTCAAGAGGTACGCGTCGTCGATGTGAGCAGGCTTGAGCCCAAGAATGGCAACCTTTTTGGGTGTCCCTTTAAAGCAATCCCAAGTTTGGTGCTCTCAAAGACAAAGGAATTGGTTCCCCGCGGCTTGGGCAAGGAGTGCTCGGTTGCCCATGAATCGCTCTTGGACCCAGCCATCTCTGGAAGGGCTTGATCCAACGTCGGCAAGCGCTTGATCCAGTCCACAGAAATGTGGGTCTAATCTGAGCAGGGAGAACTGCCAACCCTTGCGGGTCGTGTTTTGTCTCACATCAACCAACAGCCACCTCGCCGGCCGAAGCCGAGACCCGAGACCGAGAAACCGCGGGGCCCCAGGCGCGTCTTCAGCCGGCCGGGGGAGGACTTCCAGCTCAGCGACATGTATAGCATCCGAAAGGTCTCGGTGAAGCGCTCCGTGTGACCGAAATTGGACGCGACGGGCTTCAGGTGTCGAGCTCCTGAGAGAGAGCTCAGCCCACGGCAGTGGAGCAAAGAGCTGGCCTCGTTGCGTGCTGAGTGTGTTGCTTAGGACATCCCCTTGAAATTTTGGTCTCTTGCAACGCCTGGAGTTCTGGAAGAAGAGCTTGTAGCCTGTTGCTGATCAAGTTGCATTGGGCCTCGGAGCAGAGCACAGAGCAGGAGGCATTCACACATCGCCAGCTTGGAATCTTGGCGAGTAGCTGCATGTCTGGTCGACCCTGAGGGGCGACAAGTAAGCAAGACCGGACCCTTGAATGACTGTGCAGCAGCAACCACCGATGACGCCTAGCAAGTCAAGCCCCCAATCAGAAGTCTTTCGAGGAATCAATCGCCGCCTGGCACACGGTTAGAATGCTGGAGCATAGCACTCAGGCACGCACTAGCGCGCACACGCACATGCGCACGTACTCACCTTGCCAACCGCCACAATTGCAATGATAGTAGAGTCGGTTCTATAGATTCTATTGTGGTGGTCTTCCTCAACATGAATCCATGTTGACATTCAACATATGTATATGATTGTGGTGAAGACCAAGCGAGTTAAGAACAAGGCCAGTTGACTATTGACATCAATGCCAAGCGTTCAGGCCTTGTCATCAGGGCGTTCATTTCAATTGGATCGAATGTTGATTTGCTTCCAGTGATTTTACGTCGTTCGGTGTCTGGTCTTGCTTAGTTCCGGAGGGCGTGCCTCCAGGGGTCTGACTTTGGCCTCCTTAGGAGCCGGAGTTTTGACGACTCGCGAACCAGCAAAGGGGCTGTCCTTTCAGTGAATTCACACAGTCGTTCAGCTGCCTTTGACTCTGTGTCTACTTCAGTTTGGGCAAATCCCATTTGGGCTGAAATTATCCAGGTGCAAGCCAATCCATAACGGATCTCCGTCGGGTTTCATGTCTGCCCGACCTCGGGCGTGTGCACGCCGCCAGCTTGTCACGGAGCCTGACTTCAGTGGTCAGGCGGTGACCAGTGCAGGCGGTTTTGGCTTTTGACGTCGGCCGACGCTTTGGAGGTATCGACACAGTGAGGTAAGAAAAACACATGTTTTTGTTTCTATGGGGCACGGCTGCAAAAATGCCCGAGGTTTCGCGTGTTTCGCTTGATTGCCAAGAGGAAGTTGGCCGAAAAGGATGTTCCAGAGAGAGCGGAGGCGCCCGGCTTGAGCACTTTTGTGGCATACCCTGGGTCAACTCTTTCGCAGCAAAGGGGGACCCCGCAACTGACGGACGAATTTCCATACTCGTGTTGCAGCATTTTCTGACTCTAGCCGGGGACCCGGAGGTCGCTAGTTTGATGTTCTTGTAGGAGTCCCCAGGAGTTTTGTCACACGCCCAAGCTCAACTTGCGACGTATCACAGCCTCCCCCCGCCCCCCGCCCCCCCGACATAAGACCCCAACAAGGTCTCATCAAGGGGCTTGTTCGGGGGACAGATCAATTGGAGCTTTCTGAGCTGGCTCGGAGAGTTCACGTGGCAAGTGTTTCGACGCATGCAATCGCTGGGTGATCTGGGAACATTGCAACACTTGGGGGTGACACCGTGACCTTTCTGGCGGGGTGGATCTCCGGAGCCATTGCTGTGTACGTCCAGGGGCCTTTGTTTGGAAGGGAGGGCCTCATTCTTGGAGGTGCAGCAGGTCGGCCGGCCATCTAGAAGGCTCCCTTCAAATATATCCTGTCATTTGCTGGCCTTCTTGCCCACAATATCACCTTGGACATGGGCAGGCCTTGATTTAAATCATAGTGTTCCAAAACTCTCCGATCGTCAGCTTCTATGATTGGAGGCATGTAGAGAAAAACCAGGCTGCGGGTGCTATGTGTGGCTGCATATCCATCCAAAAATATGATGTGGGTTCTGAGGCTCGGGGCAAGGACCTAAGGATGGATGAGGGTTCTGAGGCAGGGAATGTAACTTGAGCCCAAAGACCCCGCTGCCTTAGGCAGCGGGGTTGCGACATGGGGATCCCTTTCTTTTTGAAGCCTCACATGAGTCACGTGCTCAACACCCGGGCACTTGGAGGGTAATGGGCAATCCCAGCCGTCAATATGGGTGCGGATATCCGCCTTGTCAATTCTTTACATGCTTCTGAGTAGCGTCAGTAGAGTCGACCATTATGATACCGGGTTTTGGTTTTGACTCACATGGAGTTTCCATCCGCCCGTGTTTCCATTGGGAGGGGCGCTGCGACCTAAGCTCGTACTCGCTGCGCGCAAACCGCTTCGGCTGAAGCTTGAGTCAAGTGGCTGTGGCGAGGGGAGGGCTGGCGCGCAGGGAGGCGCTCCGGACAGAGCCTGGGATGGACTTGCGCGTGTCCACTTTTCAAAGCTTGAACTTTTTCAACATGGCGGTGGTCCGTTTGGTGACCCTTTTAAAACACCCCCCAAAAGGCTGCCAGCTCAAAACGGTCCTTTTTGTTTCCCTTCTTTTCCACCCTCCCAAATTTTGGTGCACAAAAAACAGCAGACAGGGCCACTTTCTTTGAGACGGCGCAGCTTCTGGAGGTCTTGGCCCTGGGATGGGTCGCTATGCTCGCAGGTAGAAGCGAATGGGAGTAGATGTGCGAGCGCATTGCACGTGTTCACGCGGATTGATCCAAGCATGAAGAAGCACCACGAAACCGATATGCACCAACCTATGCGAATAAATCGATCCACTAAACCGATCCAACCATGAAGATCCAAACTTGTCCAACCTGTAAACCAAGCGACCAGCTCAGCGTAAGTTGACTTTTCGCAGGTCTGTGGGATGAAGTCCAAGCTGACGGCAAGGCGGGGGTCGGGCAGGCTTCAGATTTGGCCAGGGAGCGAGCTGTTCTATGTGAGACATGATCAAGAAGAGGCCTTTTCAGATGCTCTTGTCAATGGGGGGGGGTAAATGGAAATCACCAGAAACACCTGTGCGCCATATTGGATTTGGTCAAACCTGAAAAAAGACGAGCCAAAAGCCAAGGCCCAAGCCGACGCCACCGCCGCACGCCGCAGGCAGGCGCTGCTTTGCCCCAAGCCCGGGCGCCTGCTGCTGAAGAAGCCGGCGGCCTCAGGCCTCAGGGTCGCGAGCGAAGAGTTTTGGCTGATTTGGGTACACTCTCCGGTGAAAGTGGGTGCGTTTGCGTCCAACTTCGTGTGCCATGCAGGGTAGTGATTCAGGAAGTCGGTGTGGCTTGCGTCCCGGTGGGCGTTGAAGTTGAATTCCATGCGGCAAGATTTTGTGTGAGCAGACATCTTGTTGTCATACCATTGGGATTTGAGCGAACTTTGGAAGCGGACTGGAGGCAGTGTTTTTGGAAAGTGCCGGTTTTGAGCGCGGCGTTGCACCCAACTCTAGAAGGCGCTGTCGAATGTTAAGGGCCACTCCCGTCACACGCAATGGCACGTTGCCTCTGGGACTGAGCGCCAAGTCAGCTAAACACATGGGAGTTGGGCTCTCCTTGTGCAACTTTGTTCAACTTTGTATGGGTGAAAATTAAACCACCAGGGGACTACAGGTTTGGTCCATGTTTCCACTTGCCAGGGTTCCATTGAGGGTACCCTTGTTGGTTGGGAGTTGGTCGCGCCCGATTGCTGCTGAAAAGATAGTGCCAGGGGCGGAAGAATTAACCTGATTTTCTCAGGGGCATGACTGTTTTGTGGTTTTCTAGTTCCCTTAAATTCCAGTTTGGCGGTTTGAAGCATGAGAACAGAGGCGTCGGAGGTGTCACAAAGTGAATCGTGGTGTTGCGCGCGGTTGACGTGGATTGCCTCGGCGCTATGCGGAGGGCTGGCCATCCACCATTTTGTTCAGGTCGATAGTCAGAGAAGCCCGAAGGTTCCACCAACCTGTGGGGAGTGGGGGGTTGGGCCTTTGGTTTGCCTAGCCACGAGCCCTTATGGAGAACGCCAAACTTGTACAAAGATGGGGCGGCAATTGACAAGAGTCCCAACTCTACCATTCCAACGAGTTCCCTTTTTGGTTCGAGGTTTAATGATTCAGGCAACCCTTAGTTGCTGGTTTGGATTGGTGGGTACTTTTGGGGATTTGAACACCTGATATTTTTTTGATGGCGGGTAGGCGGGCAATCCCCATTTCAGGCGACTGGGCCGAACGCCAGCGAATCAGAGTTTGTTGGGAGTGGTTGAGACGGCTCCGTTGTGTCAAGCACTACCCTCCCAAAAACAGTAGATATACACTACATGCATATACACATATATGGTGTATTTACAAAGAAACATACTTACATATGGAACCTGGCTCATGTCTTCCATGGCAGTTGGACGGTTGTCAAATTCATGAACCCGAAATTAACCAGGAAGGATTGCAGGCCTAAGTAAGCCTTGCCGAGGATGGATCACAAGAATGGTCTTATTTTCCGCGAACCTACAGTACGAGGATCGCAAACCCTCTTCCGGGTTCCGTGTTTGCTTCCGGGGGGGCAGTCGTTTGAGTACGCCGTCGCTAGCGAGCACCCAACGCTTGAGTGGCCCATGATTGCTGGCCTGGTAGACGTCCCGTGGAGGTGATTGTGAAAGTCACCTTTTGTTTGCCTGGTTCAAACGGGTTTATCAAGCTATGCATGAACTTAACAGTGTGCCTTGTTTGCCTTTCTTGCGGGGATGAGGGGCATGCAGGGAACCCCATCGAGCAGTTGTCCTTGTGCCATTGCGAGTGGTGTTGAGACCAACTCTCTTCTTGAAACCAGCTCTTCCTTTCTCCCCCGACTCTGTTTTCGTCTTTCTCTTTCTCTTTCTCTGTCTCCTTACCTCTTAAAAACACAACTTTTCAACTTTTTGGGTAACATGGGCTATATGTCTGTAAAAGGTTAACTTTCCCAGGGCTTGGAGTTTTAAGGGGTAAGTCTCTGTCTATATCTTTCCCTCTGCCCATTGCCCATCACGACCTCCGGCCCCAAGGCATCTTCCAAAGAAGAAGATCCGCGGCTGCCGGGTGCCGCTGGTGCACAGGCAGGGGGTCGAGGGGTCCCAGGCGGCCGGTTTGTGTTTCCTTTGATAGCCTGGTTTTAGGTTTTGGTCGGCTGAGTGTTGGTTTAGTGGTTGGTTTTCCATTTAACCCACCAAGAGTCTGCTAAACGGATCTGAGGACCGCCCAGATACTTTCTGCCATGTTTGGTTAAGTTAGGATAAGGCGCCCTTCACGGATTCAGACAACTTCGTGTGGTTTTCTATTCGGGGAACCATGAGCACCGATGGGAGTTCTGACTGTGTCTTAAGGGGACCCTCCACATGGCAGGCTTCATGTTTGCCCCTCGTGTTTCATACACAGGTGGCCCCCGGTGGAAACTGCTACCTAGACATAGGCGTGGCTCAAAATTAAACAGGAGGGGTTACGCAGGTTCTGGTCCATGTTCCACTTACCAGGGTTCCATGTTGGTACCGGTTTTTTCAGCCACAGCCACATCTGGACATCCCGCAGATGCTTCGTGGCCGAATATGGCAGTCAATGGCAATGGATGATGGCAGGTTGCCGGACGCAGGGCGATTGCCACCAGAGTTGGCAACAGCGCAGTGCGAGTTCTCCCTTGCATGTTTCTTGCCGTGCTAATCGGAGTGCACACACCTGAAATCAGGCACCCCTGATCCGCCAGGTGTTTCTCAACCTCCAGGTTTCGTTTTGAGAACCATCCAAGAAGGGGTTCCGGCTTTTTTTGGTCTCCCCCATGCCACCAGAAATTCGTCGAGGCTCCCCGCGCCCCCGCGCGACGCGCGAGGTCTTGGTGGCCAGAGCTGCCGTCGTGGGTCGCGCTCCACGCTGAGCACCGGCCTTGGAGATGTGAGGCGCCACGGTGAGCGCCGGGGGGAAGAGGACCAATGCGGGGGGCCATCCCACGGGGGAAGGGACACCCGGATTGATAGACTTCTGGTGGATTCATGGGGGGGTGTCCACTTTTTCAGCGGGGGTTAATATTACTTTTGGAGAGGTGTTACCCTCTATTCATAAACCGGTTTAGCAATCCGGGGTGAACATTAATCAGATAGTGTAGAAACTGTCCTAGTGACCTAGTGCTTCCAGCTAGCAGGCAACCAGTGAAGATTAGGGCTGGTTTGGACACAAAGCCTGGGCTTTTGTCCATGGCGGCCAGGGCAATCCACCCGCCACGTTGACCCCTTTGGGCCGTTTTTGGGGCAGCTTCTCGTTGGAACGCTTCGCCGGCGAAGCTTGGGCTTGAAAGCCGCCCCTCGCTCCCAACGATGAGGCGGGCCTGGGGGGCCGAAGTTGGGCGGTGGAAACGCGATCCTGTGATGCACCAAGCGCGCATTGGGCAGATGGCAGAAAGGGCAGCTGGCCATAGTCCTTCAGATGAAGTATCCCATTGAAAGAAGTTCACTTTGACCTTTCACCTTGGCCGAGCTGGTAAGCTTAACGTTACGAATTGGAGAACATTGGCAACCCAGTTAGTAAGGTTTGTGCTCACCGCTCGGGTGTTCTATGGCTCATTGAATGGGGCGTAGGGTGTCTGACGTAAGAGTGGTTGTACATACCAGATGGCCCCACTCCTGATTGGCAATCCCTTGTATTTTTGGTGCACCCACCCGTTTGGAGTCTTGGCACTCAGCAGAATTAGAACCGGCTCCCCCCAAAGAGCCCCGCATGGCCGCTTTGGACAGGGGGGCTGGCTGTCCATGAGCCCATACTTAATGGCCAATTGAGCAATCAACTGCGAGGTGTGTGTGTGTGTGTGTGTGTGCACACTCGATCATGATGGTAAATTTGCAGCGCTACCCTGATGAACAACCCCCCTTTTGTGCTGCTTTCGGTTTGCAACAGGACTCTCTCTCTCGCCCTCTCTCTCTCTCTCTCTCTCTCTCTCTCTCTCTCTCTCTCTCTCTCTCTCTCTCTCTCTCTCTCTCTTTCCCTCCTCGGCTGTGTGCCTGCGTGCCTGCGTGCTTGCTTGGCAGCCTGCCTGCCTGCCGGCCTGCCTGCCTGCCTGCCTGCCTGCCTGCCTGCCTGCCTGCCTGCCTGCCTGCCTGTCTTCTCTATCTAAGATCCTGATTTACCATGGCTGCTTCCTCACCCTCCGAACCGTCGACGGCCAGGGTGACTCTGGCGCTCGCGGCGGTCGCCTGTGCAGCAAGTGCGGCGCATTTGGACGCCCGGGATGTGGTGCGCGCCAAAACCAGGAGAGCCAACCCGGGTGGAAGGGTGAGCCAAGGAGCTGGTTGTTGGAAGGCAGCTGTTACGGAACTGGGGGTATCCAAGATTGCTGTTACAAAGGGAGCCCAGGAGCTACCAGGAGTTCTCCAAGAGCATGGTAGTGAGTGAGGTGCAGTCCTGTGATATGTCCTGGAATCCTCAATTTCCTTGCTTCTTGACATGGGTTTCTTGTCCAGGTTTTGATGAATACCCAGGTAGGATCTTTGGACTTTAACATTTTATTTTTTTTCGATACAGTTCGGATTCTCCGAACTGGACCCACAAACAGTTATTCACTTTTTCGCAGAGGGGTCCCTTTTGAACTCCACAGCTTTCCGTCCCCCAGATGGCCTTCGCCTTCCTTTTGGGCGGTTTTAGGCTTCTTGGCCCATAGAAGGTGAGTATCCCTTGGCCAGGTCCCCCAGCTAGGTGCCCTTTGACCGTTTCTTTTTTTGGGGAGGATTCCCCTACTAAAATAGGCTACAGAAAAAAGTTGGTATCCAATTATTCTAAGCTCTCTACTGGAGGACCTACTGTGGATGGAAATCCTGCACGGCAAGACACCAGGGGAAACCATTCTTGATATTTACAGGGGATCAGATCATTCTAGGGTTTTTCTTTTGTGGTGAAGAGGATTTTGTTCATTCACAGTGGGAGCTTCGTGTGGGCTTGCGGACAGCCCAGGACCCCTCGAGCCCCCTGGCGGGGCGGCGACTTCGGGGCGATGAGCGAGGTGCTGAACGGCCCCTTTGACGGTCCAGCTGGGAACGCGGGGTGCATCCACGCCTTTTTGTTTTGCTTTTTCTCTCGGAAATGCCCCTTGGCTTTGGCAGAACCAACCCACAACCCGGCATCACCCTTGGTTTTGGTTGAACCAACAAAGAAGAATCCGGGCATCTTTCTGGTTGTTGGGTAAGGAGAACGAAAACGAACGCCATCATCTTGTCATTTTCTAGGAAATCCGGCTTGTTTTGGGGTGAAGCCAACAAAACACCAACAGGAATGACCAACAGAGAAGTGGGTGTATCATTTTTCTTTTCTTTTTTTTCTCCCGAAATGTCCCTTGTTTTAAGTTAAGGGAACCAACCACATGCTTTGCATTTGTTTTTTTTGGAAATACCCCTTGTTTTTTGGTGAAGGGAAACCAACAAAAGACCAAGAGGAAGACCAACAGAGAAGTGGGTGCTCATCCTTGTTTTGGATAACCCTTGTTTGTGGCTAGGGAAAAGCAAAAGGACAACAAGACACACCCAAGTGCCTTGCAAGTTTTTTTTGGGAAAGACCAACAGGAAACCAATCATTTTGGGGCGCTTTGCTTAAATCGAGACCAAAGCAAGTGGTTTGGCTATCCTGGGGCCTAAAACATTAGAAAGGGATTGGGACTTTAAAACCGAAAGCATGATCATGAGGGAGCTGTGTGTGTAGTTATTTCCCACAATTGCGGGCCAGTTTTTTTCATCACACCTGGTATTTTGTTACTTAGTATCTTCAATGAGCCGTTGTTTTTTTTTCAGTGTATGACCTCAGCCGACTAGCTGCGTCCTTTCATAGAGTTTCCCTTAACATGTTCTGACAATGGGCACAATTCTAAAGAGTTTTCCAAACACGCTCAGCGGGTTTTGGGTTCCTTTAACTCAGGTCATTTCTCACAATATGCGTCCCAGGCTAGCAGTGACGGCACCCTTACCATCATCTTTGTTTGTTAGGTTTCCTTTTGACACCCAGAGACCAAAGAGCTGTCTTTTGGCTGGCCACTGCACGTTGAATGTTGGCATCAGTTGAATCCGGACCCCATTCCAATGGTTGGAGGCACCCCCTAAACTAGATATCACTTCCATACTAACAAGAGGAACCCTCCTGATTAGTACGGTCCAGACAACAATTGAGACAGCGCTTCGCTGAGGCCACTTGAAGCAGATGTTTCCCAGGACAAGGCGTGGTGATCGACTCTTTGTCATTCGGCGCGTCACCTTGTCTCTTGGAAAAAGTGATGTTTCATGCTTGAGTTTGATAGGCTAGGGTGGCATGAGGTCATTCACTGCGCTTGCCTTGAGCTACATTACATTGGGACTGGTCCCTTTCAGCTCATGAGCCAAAATAGCCCTTCTTTCTTGTCTTGACGGAATGGACTTGCAGACAATCTCAGCTCTGCCACTGTCTCACGGGTTACGGTGCTGCCTTGTCGACTCGCCCTTGTCACATTGCACACTTCCAGCCACCGGCCCTCCCCCCCATCTGTGGACCGGCAAACACCCCTGCCCCCGCACTCGCTACATAAGGGCGGAAAGGACGTGGCCATGGGTCATAACCCATCCGCTCCATTTTGGGGCGGATGAGCACTCATGTACCACCTATTTTGATGTTCACCAGGGGTACTTTGGGTTTTGACCACCACAGCCATTTTCGCTTATTGTGGTTTAGTGGTTGAAATCCAAACACTGAACTGCTAAGTTTGAGAATTCTTGCTCCCCTTCCAACGTCAAGCAAGTGGCGGAAAGGACGCGTCTGCAGGTGTTTCGAGTTGCCAGGGTGCTTTGAATTGGCCGACCTTGGGCTCCAGGGCTCGAAGGCACTTTCTCAAAGGCCGACTGTTGAGTCACAGGTTGGATGATGTTTGAGACATGGGCGCGTCCTGTTTGGAGGTACTTTTCGTTTTCTTCTTCTTTTTTATATACATATTTCGTAGTTTTAAAAGGGACATCCACCATATTGGGGGAGCCACCATATTGGGGGAGGACACAGCCGCATTAGAACAAACTAGGAGTGGACAGGAGGCCTCTGTCTTCCAACACCCGAGTCCGCCAGCTTCAGGCTCAGTTCAACTCCACGTTTCCAATAGGTACACATTTGAGTACGCACTTGATTTTGTGTAGACTAAAGCTTTTAGCCAACTTAGCAAGAGATATGTATATATATATATATATATTTTTCAACCTTTGAGCTTGCCCACCCCCACCCCCTCCCCCCCCCAAGTCTCCCCACCCGTGCGTTGAACCCCTTCCCCCCCCCCCCCGCCCCCCGGCGCCCCAAGCCTCGCGCGGTTTCGCGCGCGTCAGGCCGTGCCACGAGTGGAGCGCCCCGGAGCTGCAGGAGTTTCAGGCGCAGCTCTACACGACGAGGCGCGCCTAGAGACGGACGGCGACACAACCCATGTGCCTCAAAGGAGGAAATCTGGAGGAAACCGGTACAAGAAGCAGCCAAGATAAAAGAAAGAAGCAACAGAAGCCCGAAAAAAAACAATAATAATAATAATAATAATTAAAAAAAAAACGAAAAAACAGAGATATTTATTTCCTTTTGGTTTTTCTTTTTTCTTTTTTCGGAGAGCCTAAGAGACCTGAAGTTTTTAAAGACCTGAAGACCTGAAGATGGTCGCGCAATAGAGCAGGAATGTCCAACGTACAAAGGTGGGCCAGCCATCAACCAGCTCCATCATTTGTCACTTCATGTGTGGGCAACAGTCGCACTTTTCCGGCTGGATAAGGTTCGTGATCAACCTAGGGGACCCGAGGAGGGGGGGGTTCTCCACAGAAGGGGAAGGATGAGACTAATCAATCCAGGCCTGGGTTCACCAAACCACTTCCGCGCTGCCATATTTTGTGTATGTCCATTGGTGTTTGTAGGACCCATCCCGTGGATGTTTTTCTTTGACCCTCCAATAGTGATTCATCAGCCCCGCGTGCGTTTTCCTGTGGTGCGCAAGCAATGCTCCACGAAAATCCGCCATGTCCCTTGGAGTTTGTAGGGCCCAGAGTCTGTGCCCAAAAAACAAAGTCCAAGCAAACGCCCTCTAGATTTTGCCAGCACTGCATCCATTTGCAGGCACGAGCACTTGGACGGCATCTACTCCAACGTCTCGGACAACCGCCGGCTGCGCCTGCCGTCGCTGGAGTCCTACCGACAGACCTGGCGCAAGTTGGACGCGGAGGTGGCGCCTGCGGGTAGGGGAGGGGAGGGGAGAGGCCTTCTGGGAGCTTCCATGTTAGTGTGAGGTAGTGTAACTTAGGATTAATCTGGAGGACCGTACGGGTGTCTTTCTTTGATTTGGACCCCCCCAAATGGTGCTTTTTCTTTTGGTTTGCCTGAAGATACCACCAAACAGATGGGGGTACCCTCAAAAAACCAGCCCAAAATACTACTCAGGGTGAGTGGGTTCCCTCCAAATCCATTGTTGTTTGGTGCTAAGCGAAGTTCACTGTCAAAGGTCACGTTTGTTGTTTGTAAGGGGCATCTAGAAACCCAAAGAAGTGAGTACTGAGTGTCTTGGTGGTCGAAGTACAAGTGTGGCTATGGGTTATGGGTGGAAGGATGGCTGAAGGATGCTTTGGGTACAGTCTGATCATGGACCATGAACGAATAATGCTTTGTTGCAGGATTATTATTTGCTCTTGGACCGTCACTTTTTGTTTGTTTTTCTTTTCTTCCTATTGGCTCAATTGGAAGCCAAATTGAAAAAAACGCCCTGCTTCGAATCCGTGAAGCTCGGTTCAGCTTCCCGCAAGACATGTGCCGATGATGGATTGAAAGCGGCGGGCCGCACGCGCACACCCGCACGGTCAACCTGTGTCTTTGGCCAAGGGCCAAGGGCCACATAGGGCTCATCCCTAAGGTTAAAGACGGGTGGAAAAAGGGGTGGTCTCCATTTGGACTTCCCTTTAAAAACACTGCCCAAAAGGGGAAAGCCCTCGCAGACACGGCCGACTCGGCAGGGAATGAGCGAGCTTTTTTCTTTGCCGATCGTCAGGTGAAGCGGCAACCGCACTTGCGGGACATGCACCGTGATGGACACTGGCCGGCAATGTGGCGTTCCGAACCCCGACAGTTGTCATGTTGTGTTTCTTTGGGGGTTGTCAATGACCAAACGAGTCATTTTGCTTGTTCTTGGGGTTTTGTCAAAGCCATACCACTTGGGGGTGACTTTGACGGTAAAAGGAGTTCAGCAGGATCGAACAGTGGTCTCCTTCTGTTTCCCTTGCAATGGGCATACTTCTATGGGTTTGGGTAGATTCTTTTCCAGGGTTTTGCAGCAGAGTTTGGCAAACACAAACCTACGGGGCTTGCCAGATTGAGTTCTTGCGCGCTTATCTTGTTCTTGATTGCACATCGACTTGATGGTTCAGGGACAACGAATCGTTCGCATGTGGCATCCTGCCTTACCTTCACTCCTTTTTTGCATTGGTTGAGACCTGTTTTCGGCCAATCCGCGAGTCGGCCGCTACCGAGAGCTGGGGTGTTATTGGCGCCTTTTTTCCATTTGGCGTCTGTGTGTAGCTTCCGTTGGCCTTTCGGTTTCGGTGGAGACATCCGTGAGGTTTTTGCTTTGGGTGCATTTTGCTTGGATGTTAGGACTTGAACTTTCTGCCAACTAACGGGGTTTTCCGTGTTGAGCCATTAAAAGTTAAAAGCTTTTAGCAGGGCTTCGCAGAGCTCGCAGCCGTGTGTGCGTTCGGTGTTTACCGGCGACCCTCTGGGCGCTCACCGTGGCAAGCCCGACGGCAAGCCCCAGACTTCGAGAGGGGAAGTGGTCGGTGCGCAGTGGCCCCACCGCCGGAGAAGGGCACAGCGTAGCTTCATACTGTGGACGAACTCCTGCACTGAGAAACCCTGGAATGATGATTCCCATGTAAACACCAACACAAACACAAACACACAATGGTTTCATGGTTTCAAAGTGGAGGATTTCGTCCATCCACAGCTTCAGAGCCTCCCGAAAGCCTCACTTAATGAGACCCCAACACAACCCATGCCTTGGAGTAATTCATCTCAGGGACCTCCCCCTCCCTTGTGGGGTGCCCTTCGGGTTCCTTCCCTGGCAAACGGGTTCCTTCCGTGGGTTTTGGATGTGACGAAGAGACGACTTTCAGTCGACGACTCGAGGCCACTGCCACGAGGCGGTCATGTGGCTGGTGCATCACGTGCCTGCGGCGGAGCAGCAGACGCGCTTCGCGCGCCTCGAGGTGCCGCTGCTGTCGGAAAAGCGCCACGGCTGCGCGGAGGCGGGGTGGCTGGGGAGGAGTGGGGTGGGGTGGGGTGGTGGGGGTGAAAAGCTGGCTGGGCACCCGGAGCATTGACTCATGGTTTGGTCGTACCCCCTAGACCGAGAAGGGACTTGTGCCATGTGACACCCTGGGTGTGTGTGTGTGTGTGTGTGTTTTTTGCGAGACCCGGGAACCTCAAGTGGATGGCTTCCGGTTGGTTGGCATTGAAGGCATGGTCCAAAAGCGGTGCTGTTCCAATTTGAGGACACTATGGGCATGTTTGGGGCGAGCCTATGCCCACATGGGGAACATGGATTTCCCTATCATTTGTAAGCAAGCTTACAGGCACCCTCTTGCGAGAATTGTTGCACCATGTATTCGGGCAGCCCTGGCAACTTCGTGGGAAGATCCTTCTTGAGGGGGTGACCCAAAGTGGCTTCTAACAAATGGCTTCTAGCATGCTACACACCTGATTGTCTGTCCTTTAGTGCAAGCTGGAAACCGTCGTTAGGGTGACTTCTGTTTGTTTTTCCCTGAGTTTAACAGCCTAAATCTGATGAGGCACCAAAACTGTCCGGCCCGAAGACATGCATGCCCAGCGTTCATCTCACCATTGGACAAGCGAACAAAGCAGGTGTCAGCTTGGGTACGTGGCACCTGTTGGTTCGGGCACTCACCACTCCCTCCTGGGCCCGATGGTTTCTTCGGGGGGAAAAAAAAACAAAAACACGCGGGTGCCCAGTTGCCCAGTGCAGGGCACTCGTAAAGCAAAGGAGGAATGGCACGTTTTAAGATGGCACGCTCCGGTTCGAGCTTGGGATTCCTGAATGGCTGAATTTCAGTTCGTGGATGGGAAAGGGTTGGTTGCTCGCTCCGAGCCTCAAGATAAACAGCACACGAGGGAAGGAAAGTGGATTGGCTTCCCTGGATTTTGATCGGCGGGTGTCCCAATGAAGAGGGCATCCTTAACAGTTTGAGCACCCACTACGAATCCAGGTCCATTTTTCGCGGGGTGGACATTTTGCCAGCAATCAGTCTTGCAGATCGCCTTCCACAGTATAACAGGGTGGTCCAGTGGTTGGCTTCGAACGATTGAAGCCAACTCCAAAAAGGCCGCCGAGCCCAAAACAACCACTTTCTTGAGGCTCAGGATGCCCTGGGAGTGGTTTTCAAGGGAAGCCAAAAATAAACAATGTATTGGGCCCCTTGATTTGCCCCGCCGTTGTTCTGTTCAGGGGGAGCTTTGCCGGGCCTACGAGGGCCAGATCTCTTGTGCAGACTGCCACAGCGGCACCGGCATCATCGCGCAGGCGCGCGCGCGCGCGGATTTCATCCGAGTGGCTTCCCTTTGCGGAGTCGGAGAGTCGGATTTGGGGGAACCGCCCCCCCACCCCGGTTTTTAGTGGTTTTAAAAGGGGACCAACAAGGAAAACCACATTTTTTAGGTCCCCTAGAAAAAGACGCCCCAAGAATACGTTTTCATTTTTGCTTTGTGGTTTTTTGTTTAAAGCATGTTTCTTCCAGGGGGCGAATACGCAAATGGAAGGTGGGTGTTTTGTAGGTTGGGTGAAAAGGACACGAGCAGGAAACTGTTGCCAGCCATTTTGGCTCGGCTCCCCTATTATTGTCAAAAAGGGGATCCCCAAAGGAGTTTGTTTTCTTTGTAAACACAATTTTGGGTTGTTTAAAAAGGAACTAAGAGGACGCTCGCCAGTTTTTGGGGTCCGGTCCCCTTTTTGACACGTTTAAGGGCAACCAGGCATTTTTTTGGGGAGTTCCGCTATTTTGCGACATGCCCAAGTCCTCGTGGGGTTTGAAACCCCAACAGCCGGTTTGCCAAAGGGTTGTATTGGCCGGGCGCACGCGCCACAAGCACCAACAGGGGCAGTTAGTTTGGGTAGAGGGGTGGGTTGGCGGAACCATTGCAGTTGCGGGCACGTTCTGCTTCTTTTGAGCCCTGTCTGGTTCTTCACCCCGAGCTCATATGGGGATTGGCCAAAACCCGGACCTCTTCTCAAGACCCGGGCGTCATTGTAAATGTGTGTCTTTTTCGAGGGTAACTACCGTCTTTGGGCGGAGTTCTTTTCGGGAAACCAAAAGGAACACGAATATTTGTTTCCACGTGGCACGCCGCGTGGCGCATTTTGTGAAGGCCAATGATCGCCTCTCAGGATTGGAGCGACATCCCCGGAGTCATCCCGGAGGATCCCAAGCATCCAGGCGCGTGACGTCGCCGTCCAGTGTCCCCAAACGGATGGGCGTTTTTTTTTCTTTTTCCCCCCCGCATTCCCCCTTTTTGTGGAAACGGGAAACCAAAAGGACAACCGGCCGTGTTCTGTTTTTTTGAGAGCAGCCCCCTTTTTGGGGTGGTTTTGAAGAGAAGCCAACAAGAAAGGCACCTGCTTTTTATGGCTTTGAAAGGAAAATAACAGGAACACCGAAGCCATTTTGGAGAGTCCGCGAAGAAAAGGCACACCGTGTGAATGATGTGCACCGAAGGGTTTTTGTCCAATGAAAACATGTCATACGCAATTCTCCTCAAAAACAGACCCAGACTCCAGATTGCTAGTTGAAGTTGAAGGTAACTATTACTATAGTTGTTCTCTGTTTGATGTGCCATCACTCAACATGCTATTCATTGACCAACCGATCAAACGGCGTTAGGCTGGGCGCGGCAGCGGCGCTGCGACCAGAACTACCAGTGGCTGGGCGGCTGGTTAGCTTTATTATATATATATATATATTTGTTGGGGGGTCTTGGGGGTGGCATCCGTTTGTTGTAGCCTGGAGTGTGTCCTCTTTTGTTTGTTTGATGAGTGATTCGAAGACACATGGTCCAGGGGGGATGCTTGGCACGAAGGGCCTCTTTTCTAATTTACTCCTTCTGTTGCATGATTTCTTGGCTGTAAATGGGGGGCACAGCCCTGACTGGCTTTTCGGAGTTCGGTCCCTGGTAGTGTGGTTTTGCACACCCCAAAACGTGGAGCACCGAAGAAGCTTTGCGGAGGATCTTCGCAGGCTTTTGCCATAAAACTTGAAACGCATCTTTTTGATTTGAGATGCATCTAGCCACATGGGTGTGTCTCCTTTTGGGGACCCCCCTCTCAAACAAGAAATCCTTTTGGTCTCCCTTGAAAAACAGAAAAAAAAGGCACCCGTTAAAAAAAAAAGAGACTCCCACATGAACACGTGCGTTCATCCCCACTTCAACGTGAGTGAGCCCGTGGATGCGTCTCCCCGGGGTGTTTTTTTCTCGATGTTTGGGACCCGGAACCAAGCCCGGCCTGCGGTTTTCACGTTCCTTTCCTCGCCATCGGATTGGCGTGCGAACCCGGCCACCAGGCCCGTGTGCAGCCCCTGTGAGGGCGTGGGTGGGCCGTACTGGGGCGATGATGCGCCGCGGCTGCAGGGGCTGCATCGGCTGCCTGAGAGATGACCTGGTTGGGAAGCTTGGAGATATCAACATGAGTGGAACCCCTCAAACGGCCGTCAAACCGATTTGGTTTCCCAAAGCAGCTTCCCTCAGCCATATCTTGGCCATTAAGAGCATGACTGGATTTCCTGTGCTCTGGACATTTATTCCCTTCCGAGAGGTCCAGGATTCGACTGCACATTCCTCGGCTTTTTTTTGGCGGGAGTTGCATAAGTTGACATCAGAACAGCCCGAGCTTACACAGGCTTGCATGGTGGTTCTTCTGGGAACGCCCCCAGCCCCAGACGTAATTCTGAGGACCCACGTCGCGACTTGAAGCGTTTTTGGGGCGCAGGTGGCATCCTTCCAGCCCACCAACTGCCACTTGGCAGCGATGGGCGCATGGGGCGCGTGGCGCGTGGGGCGCGTGAGGCGCATGGGGCGCATGGGGCGCATGGGGCGCATGGGGCGCATGGGGCGCATGGGGCGCATGGGGGCGGTTGGTTCGGGTGGACGTCTGCGGAGGTCTTTGCGCAGCTTTTTCGGTTTGCGGTGGAGCTTCCCTCGTTTTTTGTTTTTTATTCTTCGGCTTGGCTGTTTGGCAAGTAGGGATGCCAGTCCTCGAAGGGGTGGGAGCGGAGCGTTGCCCACTCTTGGCAGACGCGCCCAGCATTCATTGGAGCTGCGGGACGGCCATTTTCGGGGCCAGACACCAAGGGGTGCTGAAAGGGGCTGTGGTCTGAGCCGGAAGTGAAGTTTGCTTGTTGCCAGCCGTCGGCCACCGAAGGGTCTGGAAACGGGTAAAGGGTATCTCCCACATCCCCTTTTTGAATTGATGTTGAGACATGTTCGCAGCCCATCAGCCAGTCCTGGTTTTGCCAGAAGTTACAGGGGCTTGTATCAAATTGGGAGGCCCCATAGGGGTCTCAAAAGGATAGAAGGAACCCTTGGCGCTTTGGTTAGGGTTGTCAGCGGTCTGTTAAAACACCCCTGGTGAGTGTTTCCTACCCTGACACCTCGGCGCGACCGGAAAACATTCCGAAGTTGTTGCAGGTATCTCTCCATGCGGGTTTTGAGAGGTCAGTTGAGCAACGGGTTCCACAAATCTCCCTGGTCAGAGATTTGTCTCAAAAGTATTTGGCCAAAGCGTTCCTTCAGGGGACTTTTAAAAGACCATCGGTTTTTGAAATTGCGTGTCTTTGTTTAAAGGCAGTCCACATTTCTTGTTGGGCCGGGTGGCTCCCCGAAAAAGAAACCCACCCATTGGCATCCAAAGAACGGATTCCCCCTTCTGCACCGGCACACGTGGCCGGCCTGTTCCCGCGCCCAGGTGAGGTGGTGGCCCTTCCTGAGGATGTGCCGGCTTCCGAGCGCCAGTCTGGGCCCTCGAAGGGCTAGAAGTCGCTTGAATTCTTTGGACACGAACCTAACTCCAGGGTTGTGGGAGCACTCGGGGTTTCTCCCCACTTACTTCTGTGATACTTTTGGGAATCCCCTGTTTAAATGGGGGTGGTAGTCTTTGGGAGCCCCTTTTGTTGTATCACAGAAGTGGATTCCATTTCCCACAGCCCTGAACCAAACCCTTGAGGATGTCTGTCTTTTAGGGTACCAACGAAAGGGAAACGAACAGGAAACGGTTGCCAGCCATGTTGGCTTGTTTTTTTTTTTGAGACCAACCCAGATTCAACATGGAACCCAAAAAGGGATCCTTTGAAGAAGATTCGGCTAGCAGTTTTTGTGTTCCATGTTCATTTGCAGACTATTTTACAGAAGGCGCAGACAAATGGGGTTGCCAGAATCAAAGATATAAAGCTATGGCCTTTGGTTGGGGGGGCAAAAGCAGAGGGTACTGCTGAGCCCAGTGCTTGCCCTCGTTCCACGGGGGTTGTCAAGCAACCGTGTTGGTTTTCTTTACGCTACCACTCAGGCGGTGAGTTTGATCATGGCGAGATCGTGCTCGGTTTTGAGTCTCCTTTTTGTCAGCTTGCACTGGGCGCAAGCTGACACAAGCTTTTCCCTGGGCAGGAGACACGCAAGAAGTCAGGTATTTCCTGGGGTTTTGGGGGGGGGAACATTCGGGGCGAGTCCCGAGGTTTCTCCTTCCGTTTCGGGTATCACTTGGCTGCCCTTTTGGTGTGTTGAGGGCGCCCTTGTTGCGGAGTAAAGGACAACCGACAGGTTTCAACCGCGTTTTCTGTTTGTTGTGTCCTTCTGCTTTCAGCACATACCCATGGTTTAATGTCTCTTCTGGGTGTCATCTAGATTCCGAAGGTCCAAAGCCCACTTCGTTTGGCATGAACGCCGCATCACATCGGAATGGAGCCATTAGGCCTCCCCCCCTCCCAAAACAAACAAACAAACAAGAAGGCCAAAAAAACAACAAGAAAGACAGAGAGAGAATTGAAGCCGATTGGTTGCCTTTGACACCCAGGAAAGGGGGGGGGACGGGCCCCCCTATTTTGAGACACGCTCATGTTTGACCAGTTTTTTCTTTTTTTTTTTTTTTATATACCGGAACCTTCTAAACATGAATCCCCACCGAAGTCTGATGTCCACCATTTTGAGTCCCCGACCCTTGAAATTCACACCCAATGCTGTGCCCAAAATAGAGGGGCACCGCCAAAGTATGGCGATGTTCCTTTTGGATTCCTTTTGAAACCTGTGGATGGTTGCGAAATCCGTTCGCACCACCTAAGAACCAAGGGACACCATTGTTGGTGTTTGCAGGGGATCACATCATTCCGCTGGGTTTCTTAGGTGGTGCGAGGCGGATGTCGCAACCATCCACAGTACTCCTATTTGGGGAGTTCACACACACACACAATGCTGTGCCCAAAATAGAGGGGGCACCCCCAAGCATATGGCGATTGTCCTTTTGGCTTCCTTTGAAACCCCACCCCAACCCCCCCCCCTCCTCTCCTCCCCCCCCCCCCTTCGCCCACTTCATTGGTGAGTGGTGAGTTCTCTCAGGTCCCCGCAGTTCGCGGAGAGCTTCACAGTTCACCAGCTGGGCAGCGACCGCCTGGTGCGGACGCAGAACAAGCGCCGCGGCGTTTTCGTTCTTCCTTTTTTTTCTCCTGTTTTTTCATCCTTTTTGTTTTTATTCCCCAGATAGCTGAAAGCTATAGGGGTTCTAACTTCTAATGACGAGTGGAAAGTGATTTGCGAGATTGAGGGCCGGGTGTTGGGGGGCATGCAGTTTGGGGTGCTGGTGGATGCTGCTTTCCAATTTTGACGGCCGGGTGTTAGGGGGCATGCAGTTTGGGGGTGCTGGTGGATGCTGCTTTGCGAGCTTGACGGCCGAGTGCTAAGGGGCATGCAGTTTGGGGTGCTGGTGGATGCTGCTTTGCGAGCTTGACGGCCGGGTGCTAAGGGGCATGCAGTGTGGGGTGCTGGTGGATGCGGTTTGGGGTGCTGGTGGATGCTGCTTTGCGAGCTTGACGGCCGGGTGCTGGGGGGCATGCAGTTTGGGGTGCCGGTGGATGCTGTTTTGCGAGCTTGACGGCCGGGTGCTAGGGGGCATGCAGTTTGCAGTTTGGGGTGCTGGTGGATGCTGTTCGCGCGTAACGGTTCGTGGCTGGTGTATCGTCATCGTCATGATGCAACTGGGGTCACTGCGATGCTGCGTTATGGTTTGTGGTTGTAGTGGCGCCGTGATGCTGTCAACATCAGGATGATGCTGATACGCTGTCGCAAGATGGTTCGTGCTTGTATCATCATGATGCTGCCTTTACCATCAGCATGATGCTGTTTGCATCACCATGATGCTGTCCGCATCATCATGACGCTGTCCGCATCATCATGATGCTGTCGAACTCATCAGAACTGTATCAGCATGATGCTCTCAACATCATCATTATGCTGCTGAACTCATTAGGACGTTGTATGCGCGTTTGTAGCGCACCATGCTCAGTGGCTGTGGTATCATCATGGTGCTGTCTTCATCATCATGATAATGCTGCGTCATGGTGCGTAGCCGTGGTGTGCTTTCTGGGGTCTATGCTGGTGTATTCCTTTTTTTGAGAGCTGAACGCTACAAGGGTTTTGTTGCTTCTAAAGGGGGGGTGACCCCATGCTACCTGGGGACTTTTTTTTTTGTTGGGGTTCATGGACACCCACTGGCAAAGTCTAATTTTGCCGCCAACCCTAAAATACAAATATCAGGCTGCAAGCTAGAAATCTGCTTTGGGGAGCTCTGGGTCGGTCCAGTTTGACAGCTTTCTGATGGGAAGGTTTTGGAACGGACGCCAGAGAGGCTTGAAGAGTCAAGAGCACTTCGCATTTCCTTCGATGTGAGGGTCTTGTGAGTTTTGGGAGAAGATCTGGCGAGAAGAAGGATGTTGTGGCTGGGCACGGCTTGGGATGCAATCGGAGGGAGGGGCTGGGGTTGGGAGGTTCCATCTCAGGGCCTCCAGAGGTTGAGCCCGGCCCCCTTCCATCCCTTCCCTTAAGGCACAAAGGATGAGACGAAAGATGGGGGGCCGACTCCAGATATCCCGCAAACACCATGGAAACATCCAGCTCCCCTGAACTTCTGCAGGTTCACTTGGAGAAGCCGTCGTCATTTTGCTCATACTGTGGATGGACGAAATCCTGCAACACTTTGAAACCGTTGGAAACCATTGTGTATTGGCATTTATAGGGGAATCACCAATCCAGCGTTTCTTGGGTGGTGCAGGATTTCGTCCATCCACAGTATGGCCCATCATATGGCTATGAATTTTGAGAGTCGGAACCGACGATCGAAAAGTGGTGGACATGAATGCCTGCCGAAGTCTGAAGTCCACCGTTTCGGGTCCCTTGTTGGAATTCACACGCAAATGGCAAGGGAGTCATTTTGGTTTCCTTTCAAAAAAGACCACCAAATAAAGCGGGTTACCAACGACTTGAGAGGTGGTTCCGACTCTTCAACATCACATCCACACGAGTGTTACTTGAAACGGACCCCCCCACAAAAGAAGAGGGGGATTTTCCGATTGGTTTCCCTTCAACCGCCCCCCCCCCCCCACCCCAATTCAGGGGGGTTGCCAACCACCCCCTGCGGTTCCGAGCCCTGAACCACCGCTGCGTCGAGGGCCAAGTTCGCGCTCTACTCGCAGATCCGGTCCACGCTGTGGCCACTGGTCCCAAGTCGATTTGGGGGGCGGGGGGTGGGGGGGGGGGGCCAGACGGACGGGGCCGAGTGAACAAAGAAGGTTTCACACCGAAGGATTTCGGAATAGGCCAAGAAGGATTTGGGGTGGGGTTTGGGGGGGGGGGGGTTTGCCGCTTTTCCCACCACAGACTGTTTGTGGCAAAACTGTGGCAAAACTTATTTTGTGGCAAAACTTGTGTGGCAAAACTCTTTTTGTGGCAAAACTGTGGCAAAACCTTTGTGGCAAAACTGTGGCAAAACTCAATACCAAAGTAAAGGGGACAAGTTTTGCCACAGTGTTGCCACAAGAAAAGTTTTGCCACATTGTTGCCACAGTGTTGCCACAAAATGAGTTTTGCCACAGTATTGCCACAAACGGTCCGTCGTGGGAACAGCGGAAAAAACACCAAAAAACAAAACGAGACAATTGACCAAAAATACGCGACAATTACAGATGCAATAAAACAAGAGCAGATATCGAAAGGGCTAAGTAACCATGCCCGACTCCAAAAGAACTGCAGTACTCATGTATCTTACAAAGACCCTTATACTTAAAGATTACCACTGTATCAAGGTGGGCTGCCGGAAGTTTGCAGATTTTACACACACCTGTAGCCCGGAAGCGATCTTAGATGACCTTGGTGGGAAGCCACGCCAGTGGGGACCAGCCTTCGTTTACCACGCGCATGCATTTCAAAGTTGGCGCGCTTGTTGCCCAAGCCACGCCAGCTTGACACCCCATGGGAAGGGAAGGGGTTAGCAGAATCAAGGCACACCAAGGCACATATGCTTACATGCCCAAGCAAACATTTTGGAACTCAAAAACAGTAGGCATGTCGCATATCTTAGTTGGAGCAGGCCAGAAGGGACTAAGTAGCAAGAGTCGAACGAGTAACGCCCACTTATGAAGAAGACATTGACCCTGAACAATGCTAAGCAACCTGCCAGCCAGGAAGACTATAACCCCGTACAGTGAAGCCAAGGGTTTGTTGCCCCTACATAGTTCTTACCCCATCTTCAACCTTATTCTGCTTCCCTCAACCCATCCGACCCTATCACCATGACAAGCCACGAAGGGCCTGTTTAATTCTAATCTATGGCGAATTACCAGCTTCCCCTCCTAAAATTCAGTCTTGGGGGTCTAATTGTGTGTTGATTTATGTGTATACACATGTGTATGTATGTGCAACCTTCTGTAGAGACACTCCTAAAACCATCAGCCACGGAGCCCTCACAAAGCCATGTAGCGCTACGCAAACCAGCCGTGGCCGACAAAACGACACAAATGCACACAGTGTTGCGGAATCAAGCAACACCGCGTTGTTTGTGTGTGTGTGTGTGGAACTAGAAGAATGGGCCCTGTAGCTGTAAGCTCGCCACGCTTTCGGAAAAATGTCTCAAATATCCAAGTGATGTGTCGTGTTCTGGGCTAAGTGCCACTTGCATTCGACGCATCCGCTGTCCGTGTTATAAGGTCATGTTGTTTCCTGCTCCATCAGGCTTCATCTCGCCAATTTCGTTGCTGTAGCTAAGGATAAAGATAATCTTGACAGGCCTTCCCTAGATCTTCCACCATAAGAATGCGAAAACCTATCGTACGAGGGCTGAGGCTGAGCCTGTCTCAGCTTGACGGCCGGTCTTTTAAGGATTGCATTAACTTGTTTTTTTCGCAGACTTGCTGTTGTGCTTTGTTTTGCGTTGGCAAGGTTTGCGCTTGCAAAATAAGCGAAACTTTGAAGCTCAGAGCAGGAGTTCTCCAGGACACAAGCTTGCTGCGGTAGTGAATGTACAACATGTTTGTTTAAGGGTGCCCTAAGAGCGACCCTATTCGGTAGGTTGGCTGCCACAGGCACACCCCGCATGCTTTTAACATACCTCGTGCAGAAGCATAGTAGGGAGTCCCCAAGGCTGGCAACGCGTTGGTTTTGCTTTATATGCCTTGATTGGCTGGGTTTAAGGGACGAGCAAGCAAGCAGAGGACCATTTACACACGCGAGCAAACGGTTTGAACATGTTGAGGTTTCCAATCACCAGATGGCGTGGGGCCCTACAGATCCAAGGTAGTGTCACGTGCGCCCCCCAATCCCTTTCGATTTGACGCTCCGAGCCAGGATCCCAGATTCCCAGACCCCAACATGCTTTGATCTGGACTTCGCAAGTTTCTGGACTTCTAGATTGCTTTTTGGGTCGGCCATCCACTCAGGAAGTGAGACCATGCTTTTGCATGTGGGTCTTTTGGGGCTTCCAGACACAAAGCGCAAAGACGCAATCAAGGATTGGTGGTTTGGATTTGGCCCCTGGCTTCAAATGTCCCTAAGTTCCAAACCACCCCCTAAGTTCTATAGCCCACCTGGCTCCAACCGCCAACTAGGACAAGGTGAAAAAACAAGCAACCCCGCCAAGCCCACCGCGCTCGAAACCACCAACTAGGGTAAGGTGAAGCAATGAACAACACCACCCTTACGTTGTTTAGTTCGCCGGGCTCCAAACCACTAACTAGGGTATGGTGAAAAAACAACACTCCCACCCCCAAGTTCTTTAGCCCCCGCAAGGAAAGACTAAATTCCCTGTTCAAATGGCCTTGGCCACGGCCCTGTCCCTCAAGAACTCGTCGTCGAGTTTGTTTTAGTTTACGAATGACATGACCTTACTCTGGGTTTTCCTTTTGTGCCCTTACTCTGGTTTTTTCTTGCCCCCGGAGGGCTGAAGGGTGATGAGGCCGACCAGGATGGGAACTGCCAGTTCCACGCCTTCACAAGGGCGGCGCGCAACCAAGGACCGACGTGGTTCTCTTTCCTACCCCTGAAAAAGAGAGTACTTTTTCTTACCCTTCCAGGGCGCAGGCGGATCAACGTTGACGAGGTTCACCGGCATGCAGATATCCTGTCGGCTTTTCATGGGCATCTGCGCCCGTGCGAACTGGAATACAGGTGGGAAATGGACTGCTACAGGCTTTGGCAAAGTCGTGCCTGGGCGCAGGACATTGCAGCGCGTCGCGCCTGTGCGTGTCTCGAGATTCAGCAAGTCGCGTATTCTACAAAACCCACGAGTCGCAAGATTCGGAATGCCAAGGCCAACGCGCGTGATCATTGGGTTGATGTTGCGGTTTCGAAATCGACTGGATGTTCTTTGAAACTGGCGAGATAGAATGGGCCACGCGGCCTGGGTCTAAGGTCAGCAACAGAAGAACTGGATAAGAGTAAGGTCATGAAGAAGATTGAGTCAGGTGCGGCTCCGACCGTATAATGGATATTGGACCAAGGCTTGGAGACTGCAAAAGGATAAGTCTGAGGAAGCTCAAAACATGGCACTGTCTGCGTTGGCATTGTCTTTCACCGCCTTGAACACACAATGGATATGGTTTGTCATCAGCAAGAAACCAGGCCGTAAGGTCCCACATGACCTTACACTATGTCTCCACTCCGCCGGCCTGGCAATGGTGAGGGCTAACTCTCAGCTCATGCTGGCGCAGAATGTTATGCTGCGTGGCATCTCGGTTCACCTTGCGGCTGAGGCGCTCCCTCAACGCGCCAGGAGGTCGGACGTGTGCGTTGGGACGCTGCCCACCTTCCTTCGGAAGTCGTCCAGCGTCCAACCTGCAAACATGGAACTCCCAATCGCTGCTCAAGTCCAAAAGAACTAGTCCCAAGTGTCTCCCAGCCAACGATCCAAGCCAGAACTCGTTCAGAGTGTTTCCGGGTGGACAACCAGCAAAACGACCCACGTGAAAAAGCAGCAAGAAAACGCAAAGTAAGTGCCGGCAACTGGGCTGCCTCAACCAAATCGGGTTCTTGTGGAGAACATCGCGGACCATATCTGGCACGCCAAGCAGAGAGAAGTGCTGCGTGCGGTCGTGTCGCGCTGGTGTCTCTTCCGGCTCCACGGCGGCCCGGGTTGACGACAGACAGCTGGTTGGGCGAAGCAAAAAAAATGGATCAAGAAAGCAAATAACAGCCGGCCTCTGGCAAAGGGTCCTCCGGCGTCTGCTCTGCCTCTTTCTGACCGCCCTCTTTGGCAGGGCTGGGGACTGGCCTGCCGCGATACTCCCAACACTCACCCCCCCCCCAACACCTTCCTTTCAGTGGCGGGATTGCACCCTATCAAAAGCAAAATTTGCACGTTTGGGAAGCTGGAACTTTCTTGGTTGGATGGACAATTGGAAAGCCCCGCGCCTCTAAATCGCAACTAGGGTTACAGCCACTATCCTGGCCTCGTGCCTCACCATGCGTTAGAAACATGCCAGTGGCCGCTCTCAAAACTGCGCAAGGTTTTGAGACAGCTGCGATTCCAAACTTCCCCGCAGAAGTGGAACCAAGCGGCTTCAGGCAGACCATCTCTGGAAGGACCTTCCTGGCTCCACAACGCCCTTGGCGCCAATCAATGTAGGGAAGGCTTTGACGGCGCAGGGGCCCGGCAAGAGAGCCATAGGGGGCAGGGTGGTGTTTGGTGCCAAGAGACCAGAACCTCATGAACAAACAGCCATCTGTCTGGAGCAAGGGTGATCAGCCCTGATGTCCGCATTTGCTTCGCTTCGTTGGACAGCAACTGGAGGGTCCCCTGGCTTGCCTCCATGAACTAGGGGAGTTCACACACCCCCACACTCGGAGACCAAACCTTTCCCAACTGCGTCAAAACAAGAACATTTTTTCTAAATAAGACATGTTATTTTTGAATGTCAGTGATGGAGCAGGCTGATGCAGCTCCTGGCGACTTTATGGATTTTCTGTCCTTTGCCTTTGGGTGCTTTTTTTAGCAAGTGCCCTGGAGGTAGGTGATAAAAGTTGTCTGTACCTCGAAGGTGAACAAGCAACAACAACAACAACACCCCCTAAGTTCTTTTGCCCGCCGGGCTCCAAACCACCAACTAGGGTAGGGTGAAAAACAATCCACACCACCCCCTAAGTTATTGGCCCACTGGGCTCCAGACCGCCAATTAGGGCAAGGTCTTTGGCCTGTCTGGGCTCCAAACCACCAACCAGAAGCAGGGTAAGATGAAAAACGAACCACGCCGCCTACTTAGCTCCAACCCATCTTTTTTGAGCGCTTTGCAGCAAGGTACGACTTCCCCCTGGGCGATGGCACTGGTACCGGCAGCGAAGGCATGGCAAAGCTTCTCAGACTCTGGGAGTGGCGAGTGGCGAACTTGTTGGGCCCAGCATCTTGTGTTGCCCGCAAGTTAAAATTGAGGCAGTTCAGGCAACAGTGGTTTGACCATGTAAGTGGTTAGGCCCACTCCAGGTACATTTTTGTCCCAACGTCTGGTTCCAGTTGGTTTTGGCCGATGCTTCAAAAGGGAGATGGGGGTGCCTTTTTGAGGGTACCCGTTTTGGGATGGTTTTCAAGGGAAGCAAGAAGCGAACCCGGATTTTGCGACAGCCCGAACAAAAACTAAATACGGAGCCCTGTGCCGCTATAGAAACCAACGCCGGCTCGTTTCGAAGGGAACCACTTGGTTGTTGGGGGCAGGTTGGGGTCAAAAGAAGATCTGGCCGGGTGTCATGTAAGGGTATTCCTTTTTGGGTGGTTGTAAGGGGAAACCAAAGGGAAAGCCCCATTTTGGGGTTCACCCATTTCAAGACACATTTGGCGTTGAAGGGACGGGGGAAACGAGCAGAGGATATGCCATTTACCCACTTACGAGCAGACGGTTTCAACATAGAGGTTTACAATCATCAGAGATACAACCATTTCGAGCGGTTGTTGTCTCCCGTGGTTAGGAAAGGGCAAGCGCATGGGAGTGGCGGCTTGGTCAAACACTGGCTTGCTCACCGGGATATACAAAGAGGCAAAATCCGAACCACGAGCACCGTGGTCCTGTTCCCCTTCCTGGCTTCTCGAAAACGGACCCCTGTCTTTGGACGCCAGCCTGTCTGGCAGGGGATCGATTTCAAGGCAAATCAGCGGATGGACCTCGCATGGCGCAGAGCTTTCACGCTCGCATGGTCACCCCAAGCCACATCGGCTTCTTATACTCGGGCTATCTAAATGAGAACTGCTGCGGTTCAATGGGACGAGCTCGTTCCTCGTTCCGCCTTGCTGCTCTTTGGACAACCCACCGGGAACTTGCTTGGCTTCCTTTGGAGCCAGGTTTGTTCCCAACTTGTGGTAAAGAAAACAGTTTGACTGTGAATGCCCCTATTTCCGCACGAACGAGAACATCGGTCAGTTTTGATTGGAGCTCCTCGCCACAGTGAAACATTTTTACCGCTTTTGCTAGCGTCCATTCAGCACCATCCAAGCGAATGAAGGCCATGCCGAGCTTGCGTGGGGTCACCAATGCGATCGGGACCTCAAAAGGCTTCCAAAAGGCTCTCGAAGGAAGTCTCAGATTTGGTTGTTTGGTTTCCAGAAACCAAAATAACACCAAAATAACACCACATGGGAAATGGGGCTCATGGGGCATGGGCCTGGGGAATGAAAAATAAAATCACACCAAAAAAACAGCCATGTCCCAGTCCCCATGGAGCCCCATGGTTTCAACGTTTTTCTGTGGGTTGGATCATTTTGAGTCAGCTGAGGCTCCGGCATGACACATTCTACGACGACCTGGGCTACAGGCAGAGGGTCGCGGTTTTGCGATGGGTCCCGCTGGTCCGCACAAAGCCGGCGAGCTTCCCTGAAACAAACTCATCCGTGAGGAAGTTGCCTTTGGGATTCCTGCGAGTTGCTTTGGGAAGGATCTGAGGGTCTCAAGGAGACGGATGGTAAGGTGACTGATTCTGACAGATTGTTCTTTTCCTGGGTAGCCGATGGCATTTGATGGCTGGCGCGACGGACCGTAGCTTGTCGTTGCGTCCATATCCTTCTAAGGACCTTTGACAGTTTGGAAAGAATCAATGACAGGTGCACACATATATGGGTACTATTTGCACTGAACTAAAGCATATATTGGGAAAATAAATCAAGTATGGGTAATACAATTTGAACTGAAGCATATACAAGGGTACCTTGTTTTCTCCAACATATCACGAAAGCTAGCTTTAGCTAGCTGAAGTTTCTCCTTGCGTAAGCAAGGTAAGGGGCTCAAATGCCGAAAGATTGATTTTTTCAATTATTTGAGCCGAAAAGATTGAAAAACATCAATTATTTAGACCCCCCCCCCCCCTCCCCCCCCCCGGGTCTCAGGCTCGATTCCTCCCTGGTCCATCCCCCCCCCCGGGCAGTGGCTCAGTGTTCAGCAGTCTCGGTTTGCCCGTTTTGGACTTGGTGCTACGAACTTTTACATGTTCCACCGATTCAGCTTGTTCATTTGAGACCTCAGTCTTCTCGGTAAACCACCTCGCAAGAATCTTTGCACACGCTGCATGCAGAACCCAGAGGTGCTTTAAGACAGCTTCTGACGCCTCTCGTTGTTTTCATTTTTCAAGGTTTGCCACGCCACCATGTGCGTTTACGTGTCGCATCCTACGAATCTTGCCGGGCCTCTCGTTGTACACAAGCTACCTATGAATCCACTCTGCCACCGACCCATCTCATGCAACAAGTGCTAGCTTTCGTTCACCCGCTCCTCAAGTACAAGAACCTGAACGCCTGAACTCAAGCCTCAGAAAAAATGTGCAACACCAATCTGCATGGGCGGCTTGGGGTTTCGTTGGACATCTGGTGGGCCACGTCGCTTTTTCTTGGCCCGGGTGGCTGCATGGGTCAGACGTTGACCTCGGATAAATCCGGTTTGCGCCGTACATCGGGTAAACATGGGGGGTGGGTTTCTCCTTAGGAAATGAGCTCTGTTCTTTTTTTGGAGTCTTCCGGATGAATCCGACGATTATCTACCTCATAGGGATTTTGGACATGAATCCAATGCACAAGTGCCTGCGCAAATCCAAGCCATGTCCTTTCTGATGTCACCCTTTGCCTTTGGTTGTCTATTTTGAGGTTCTCTGCGAGAATGGAGGGTCCCTCAAATTGGGCTCCCCCGCCACAACAAAAACAACAGACCTCCAAACAAGACAAGACCCCCCCCCAAAAAAAAGAAGAAGAAGAAGAAGAAGAAGAAGAAGAAGAAGAAGAAGAAGAAGAAGAAGAAGAAGAAGAAGAAGAAGAAGCAGCAACACAACACAACAACGACCGTCTCCGCTACTCCCCCCGCTCCCCACCCCACACCAAAAACAACAAACGGGGGGGGGGAAAACCCCCACCCCCCCCCCCCCCCCACAGGGGAAAACCGCCTCCCCCACTCCCCACCCCACCCCACACAAAACAAAACAAAAACAGAGAGAAACACCGCCTCCCCATTTGTTTACTGCCGGCAGGTGGCTGGACGACGGCTTGGTCTCGGAGCTGCACTTCCAGTCCCGAGCCCAGCGGGCGGCCAACGTCACGGGGCCCATGGTGTCGATGATCCACGGGCTGCTGGGCTGGGGCAAGCGCCTTGGTCGCCAGGGCGGTGGAGCCGGGCGGCGGAGGAGTCGGGCGGGGGGGGGGGGGAAGCGGGGGAGGGGGGCGATTGGGGGAAGGGGGCGGTTGGGGACGCCTGGCCTGGAAGCCGAGCTGCAAAATTGCGAAAGGCGGTGTCTGTTGGACAGCCAGCGATTTCTTTTTTTGGGCGGGGGGGGGGGGGGGGAAGCCTGTCTGGTGAGGGGGGGATTGGGTGTCGGTCTTTGTTTAGACCCCCCAAAAATGTTGTCCTTTGTCCCTTAGAAAACAAGAAAACGGGAGGAGTCTGACAGGAGTTTCGGGCCGTTTCCAACTTTTTGGAACTTCCCAAAAGTGGCAGTTTCGTTTCAATGGAGGACGCTGCCAATCAATTGATGAGCTTTTGAAGGGGGAATTCCAGTGAGCCTTGTTGTGAGTCCTGTCAACCCACTTGGCAACTGGGATAGCAACCAAAGGACTACAGGGACTGGTTACAACGACAGTTATACGGCAAAAGGGGTGGTGACTGGGATAAGTGGGGTCAGTCCCTGGTTGATTTTGTTTAG